CTACGACCGGTCAGAATAGTGAAACGATGTCTGGTTGGCGATATCCGGGAAACAAAAAAAATAAAATCGGTCACAAATTACGTGAAATAATTTTTACAACTTGAAAAACAGCACTATTTGAAGTTGCCACTGTGTGAATTAATTATCATTTGTTCCTATAATAGGCAACGTGGTTCTGGTTTAACGGGCAATTAATTCAGTTTTCCAGAAAGAAACAGCACTGACAAACATATGCCATAATCAACATCAACAAGAACGTCGTCGTTGTTCCATCGCCGTCATCCTCATCATCACCGTCATCATAGACATAATTTTCATTAACAGCACCATCGTCATTAACAAAAATAACAAAGATATCGGATCTGAGCTACAGCCGAATTCTCCCATTGCCAGATTAGTTCTTGATGTCACACACCTTTGTGCAAAAAAGGTGCATCACCTCATAAACAGAGCAGAATAACAAATTAGGCACAGGCAGGAGGTTATAGGATCTCTATGGGACAGAACTGTTTGTTGTTTATGGCGGCAGCTCTCACTCTCCCGGCTGAATCATCTTACAGATTCAGGAACATTTTCAGCTGATATTATCTGCAGAACTTTTCAAGCCATGCTCAGATTGGTAACACTAGGATCGCTATTGGTCACATCTAAGAACTTGAATGCGATCTGATCATAAACATCATCGTGCAGAGTAGTTGACGACCTTCCTCATGCAAACTTAAGTGCTAGAGCAACTATAGCAGTTCCTCTCATTCGATAGTAGAAAGAGAATCAACCAATGTTACTGAAAGTTTTTCACCAACTGCCAAAACGGTCCATCAGATTAAGTTAAAATTTAAGGAATTGTACATGGAAAAGTTGTCTTTTTGTACTTCGGATATCATGCAGAAAATGAAAAAGTGCGCAAATTGAAGTTGGTAGAAAGCAACAAAAGCAACATGCTAACACAGGCATGCCTGGCAGATAATATATTTTGAATTTACGGTTTGTAGAGTTCGTGGAACTTTTTAACAGATATATTGATATTAATAGACATTTAAATATTTATTTTCATAGCAACATATTTACGTGCAGCTGTTCTACTTTGGTGCTGTGTATTGTGCTCACGTGCTCGTTTTCTAAGGAGCCTATAAAAATGACAGAAACAGGCCGTTAGCCCATCGACACCGCAGGATTTGTTGGTATTTGGATGTTTAAAGACTCTGCCTATATCATCTGTGGTTAGGGGATCAGAAATTATAAACGACGGCTCTCGCCTCTTGCTAAGGATCGGTAGATCTTATGGATTGCTACAGTTCAGAACGCTTCCAGAATACTCAGTCCGTCGCTTCCGGCAAAGGATTGCCCAGCGTGTCACTGACAAGCCTAGGCGAGGCAACAC